TGTGTGTGTGTGTGTGTGTGTGTGTGTGTATGTGTGTGCATATGCACATGAAATGCCCGAGTTACATGGGTACGGTTGTGGCTCTCCCAAGCCAAGTGTCCGTTCTGTTACCGGCCACAGTAGAGTGTTCAGAATGCAATTCGCAGCCCAGGGCCCAGGAGTTAACTCATTTAGAAGGCTGCGTGGGCTCCACCAGAGAGGTCATGGCCTGTACTTATACAAACATGATTTATCTTTCGCTTTTTATAGTTCATTTATTTCCCACCTACTTTCTTCACCTCAAGGTGCCCTGATGAAATCATAATTCTCTGTGAAGTGGCCTTCTGTCGCCATGGAAATGATAGTATTGAATCTGCAGTTTTATGAATGCCGCATCCTTCCCACTGGTGTGGATGCAGAAGAGGCAAAACACAGCCTGACAACAATTTGAATCTCTCCTACAGAAAATTAAATTTCGAGATAAACGTTCGTCCTGAAGTAGTGAATTAGGAAACTTCTGAGAGGAGAGGAGAGATGAAGCTTGAAGGTTTCTGTTTGTTTCATTTTTAGAGTTTGGGGGAAAAGGGCTTGAATTCTGGAAACAATGCGATAAATGGCCGAGCACTGTGTTCACATTAATGCAGTTAGTCCTGTGCCCTGTGTGCCCTGTGTTTGATTCCTTGAAAGTTAATTCTGAACTTAGTACCACCTTGTGTGTCCATGCTCATCACTGCTGCATTTCCTGTTTTCTTTAATAAGTTAATGATTTCATATTTTCATAGTGGAAATTCTCCTGTCCCATGAAATTCAGAATTGCATCTTGGTTGCTGGTTCCCTGAGAGCGAATTACTTAGAAGCCGTTGGTGGCCCATAGTTCCCAGGAAGTCGGAATAACAGGCTAAGTTAGAGAGTGAACAGAGTCCTGCTGTGGCCTGACTTCAGCTGGCATCCCTAACCAGCTTCCTGTGAAGGCTCCTTTGTGAGCAAACTCTTGGTTTCAGATCTTAATTCTGTTTTGGCTTCGGGAGTCCAGTGCCCACTCCAGAGTCACATTGAGACCAGACTGACTCAGAGGAAGGACCCCTCCCATTGACTCATCTCCCCACTTCCTGTGGGTCCGTAGCTTCCTTTGGAGGCCTCCCGTTCAAGTGGTCCCTCGTCATGTCATAGCCTGTAAGGGCCGGGAAGCTCCAAACGATGTGAACCAGATCCTTGAAGGCCAAACTTGCTCTTTGGCTTTTCATTCCATCAGAAAGGCATCTTCTTACACCACCATAGGTTGTATTATGGAGAAAGAAATGTGGAAGAAAAAAAGTCAGAGCTTTTTCATCATGTTATATACTTGTCTCATCAAAGCATTTCAACACATACTCTTAAATGCACCCCTGGACTAACTATTTTTTGTCTGTTTGTTTAGATAGGGTATCACTATGACAAAGATTTGTGTGTGTGTGTGTGTGTGTGTGTGTGTGTGTGTGTGTGTGTGTGCGCGCGTGCACGCGCGCACCAACCTCAAGAATTATTCATGTATAAGCCACCTTTTTTTTTTAATTTTTTAAGATATGGTCTCTCACTGGCCTGCAACTTGCCAGATAGGCTGGTTGGCCAGCAAGCGATAAGGATTTGCCTGTCTTCCAGTGCTAGGTTACAAGCATGTGACACCACAGCTGGGTTTTTTTTTTGGGGGGGGGGGTTCTAGGGATTGAAACTCAGGCCCCCATGCTTGAAAGGGCAAGCACTTCACCTACAAAGTTATCTTCCCTGGCCTCGTATACAGGCTTTCACAGATGGACATAATGCTTACCAGTAGAAATATATAACTCAGATGACCCCATGTGTGTAGCAATAACCATTAAAGAAAAGAAAGTGCCATGAATTTGAGGCAGGGTGGGGTGGAGAGGGATTGATGGGAGGAAAGAAAGGGTGACGGATATAATTATATCTTTAAAAATAACACTATGGTTGCCTTTTAATATAAACTATATTTTTCAAATTTGTGACACTTGGCATTGTTCAGAATGTGAAGAATTCACTTTCTGTCTAAAATAACATGGGCTCCTTCAAGAAAAGGCACATACCATATTTCGTCCTCTTTTGTTACTTTGTCAGGAATCTAGTTTAGGAATCTGAGTGTCTTCTCTAGCATTTCCTCTTTTCGTTTGCAAGAGTTCACAAGAGGACAGTTAAGTTGGTGGGGCCCTAGGACAGAGCACATCTAATGGAAAAGCCACTGTGGCCCGGTTCCAGCAGAAGAGTGTCCAAAATCAACACAACTCACCCTGCAGTGTCCCTCACTATCTGGAGTCATCCCTGCCCTCCTAAGAGGAGATAACACCCCACTGGCCGCAGCCATAGCCAGGGCTCCCCTGAGCTCCTCAGGAAAGGGCTCACAAATGATAAGAGCGCAGCGATCACCCACCAGAGAGCCAGGATTCCACCCCTCAACTGCCACGTAACCTCAAACGGTGATCACTAAAATCGGGGCGAACTTTCCATGTAAAAATTAAATATCTTGATCCTGAGCAAACAGTAGGCTTCTCTGAACTGTTTTCCCCCTACCTAAAGATATCCTATGATATGATATTTAGAGGGTCTAGGGGCTCAGAGAGGCGGTTGTGAGGAAGACAAGCCACATAGGGGATAATGCATATTAACTGATCATGTTACGTTTCCCCCAAAGCTATTGAATTAAACAATCAACAGTGTTGTGATGGTAAAAATAAGGGAGAGCTGAAAATCACGGTTGTAAGGTTTGGGCACAACATGTACGTTTGTAACAGCTCTAAGCTGGCATTAGCTGTGGGTCTGTTTTGCATTATCTGAGTTTGATACATTCCCATCTACAGTGTAAACAAGTCAGAAATTACTTAATGTTGTGGGTGCCTTCTCAGAACGCCTACCTATGTGCTAATGAGAGTGCTTAGGAATACAGGCCTCTCCAAAAGCCACAGAGAGAGACAGAGAGACAGACAGACAGAGACAGAGACAGAGAGACAAAGAGAGAGACAGAGACAGACGAGACAGAGACCATTGGATACGGAGGACATTGGATAATACTGGATATGGATATTGTGTTATTGAGTCGCCTTGGGTAGAGAAGGGGCTGCGATTTTGTGTTGCTCTGACATCCTGAGGCGAGGTGGGCAGAGTATAGAACCATCTACATGGTTCTTTTACCTCCAGCATGGAGGTCGTTGACTGGGCTAATCCTTGTGAGCTGCTATCTAATAAGGAAAGAAATGTACAAAGCAAGGTCACTGGAAATCAGGCAAATTCCATATAAACTCGCCACCTCAGAATGATAATCTAGACAAAGGAAGGCACTTAAATTCTGCTCATTTCCAGTTGCTCAGGCTGACTTAATCCAAGTCATATAAAGCAGCCCTGTGACTCCCCTAGACCCAGAGCCTCCGGCAGCAGAGGATGAGCTAGATGCTAGCCTTCTGATTTTCCACGTGGTTGACTCCATCATTTAGCACCTGCCATCAGCAGCCCCCCATAATGCGGCTTTCTTTCTTTGTTTCCCAGCTCATTCATTTTCTCTATTTGCACACTCTCAGTAAGAGTATCTCTTTTTTTCGAGAAGTTAGCCGCAAATTCACAAACTTCTGTTCCGGTCTTTGTTTTAGGTGAGGCTCTAGCCGCAGTTATCAGTCCTCTGCTGGGGATTACATCATTGTTGCTGAGTGGACAGTGCACGCGCACACACACACACACACACACACACACACACACACACACACACACACACACACACACACACTGGCCCTCTCTGGCCTCCTTCATACTTGCCACTGAAGCATTCACTTTAAATAAAAAAATCCATTCATTCCGCCTTCAAGAGTTTCTTTGGAGTCTTGGATTGCTCCAAGTGCCGGGAGTGCAAACAGTGGCCCAGGTGCCCGCGTGCCTGAAATTACAGGCGTCTGTGCTGGGGGACAGACGACCAGAAACCTGTTAGGAGGTGGCTTCCGAGCTCCCGTGACAGGGAGGGAAATGTACTGCACACCCAGCTTTGTCCCTCTGGTCGTGCAGTGTGGCCTAATGGGCGGGGGGGGGGGGGGGGGGTCACTGCCTCTGTGTCTTCGGGTCTAGGGAATTCAAGAAACCATAGGATCCGCTTCATAAAGTTATTGGATGACCGAGTGTCTCATTCATTATGCGCTCATCAGAAATGGTGGCCGCTGGCGGTGATGGTAGTGGTGTTGATTTTTGCCAGAGCAGTGGGGTGGGGGAGGGGGAGGCTCGGGAAAGCACGCTGAGCTGGAAAGAGGTCAGATCTGATCTGACAGTGCAGTAAAGTGATTCCTCTGAGATACCGAGAGTATAGAAGAGATGGGACATTCAGTAAGAAAGTGAAGGAGAAAACACAATAAAAAAAAAAAAAGACATCAGAATGAAAGACTAGAAAGGATGGAGCCCGCGGCCTGCAGTCCTTTCCTGGATAGCGAATGTCCAGGTGGGGTTTCAAGTTCTCTACCGCCTGATGCAGTCCTAGACTTCAGGCCCTGACACTCAAACAACCAAAAAGCATAGTAGGGCTGCATGGGACCCACGACACTAATTCCATGGCAACCAGGGACTGCAGTTTACCCTAATCAAAGTGTGTATCTGCAGTGATTGACAGTGCCTTCCTGACATCCCTCGGCACATTGGTCTCAGAGCCACTGAGCATGTCAGTCCAACAGTACTACTACCAGGATGGGGGAGAATCCTACTTCCATTCAGCTGATGTGTATTGAATTCCTGTTGTGTGCCATGTAATTCAGTACGCCATGCGTGGTATCCCATGGCATCAGATATACATCATGGGAGAATGGGAATGGGATGAGGGCAACGGACCAGGCCTGGGGGCCAGAGGATGTGAGACAAAGGCGTTTAGTAGTGAGAGTGTCGCAACAGGAGGGAGAGAAAACCAGCCTGAGTGGTAAGGAAGTCTACAGTCGGAAATGAGACGCCATGTCTGGAGTCTAGAGCTGGGGAAGGATGGGGTGTGCTAAAGAGAGGGGTGGAGGGCCTCGGAAGCCCAGCAGAGAAGGCGAAGCTAGGATCTGGGATGCAGGGGAAGTGGGCAAGGAGACACACGAACAGTTGCGCATCTTCAGAAGGTTCTCCCAAGGCGAAACAGGAAGCAGAGTAGAAGCAAGAGCAGGAGCGGTGGGACACTGGGCACCGTTGTGAGGAACAGCACTGCTGGGCACGGGGCGCGGGAAGGAAAGGAACGGTGGACAGCGGGATTCCAGCATGGAGCGGGTTGGGAATGGAGGGGCGCGGGAGCGGGGTACGGCAGCGATTCTACCCAAGATGGGAAGAAGATGACCACGGAGAAAAGGAGAAAGGAAAAGCCTCGGCAGTGTCAGGCATGATGAGTCTATCCCGAACACGCTGAGATAAGGACTCTGCCAGGCGCTGCCCCATGAAGCTACGTGGTAGAGGGTGACCCTGCCTACCTGCGAGTCCCAGGAATGAGCGTATCGGGTGTGGGCTTCGTTGGCATGAAGACAAGAATGGAGATGGTGGGAGTAGATATGGTACACTCCTGAGGAAACGGCTACTGAGCTTTCCAACAGCCGACCCAAGAGGAAACAGTCACGCCTCTGTGCTGGGGCCCAGGTCGCAGTCCTCCGATACACACAGCTAGATGCCTGTCCATAGCACATGTACTCAGGGGCAGGAGCCATCCTGTTTATAAGGATGAAGCCACTGTGTGTGGTGTTTACGTCATCTTCATGACAGATTCATATCTTGGGGTGGGGGGCGTGGGGGGGTCCAGGCTGAGAAGATGGTGTCGTTGGAAGCCAGGCTTTGGGGTGCTGGTATAGACACTCAGTTTCCTTCTATTCCTGACAGACCCGCCTCTGCCAGCTCTGCTTCGTCGATAAGTCAGTGAGGGCAACAGAATGTCCCAGGAATGCTTATGTGACATGAATCTCAAAAACAGAGTTCTGCCAGCAAAAACTTGTGAGAAAGTCTAAGGCCTTGTCAATTGAGATTCACAGCATATAAAATCTCTGAGGTGTTCACTCCGTAGTTTAAAACAGTTAATCCAATGCTTCTTTTGTGTGAATGGTGTACACGCATGCATGTTTGCACATTGGTATGTGTGGGTGTGCTTGTATGTATGGGTAAGAAGTTGAAGCTACCAGTTGAAGTCATGTCTTCCTTGATTGCTCTCCCTTATCTTGCTATCCCTTCCTTGATTGCTCTCCCTTATCTCTTGAGGCAGGGTCTCTCGCTGAAACCCAAAGCTCACTGATTCACTAGCCACTAGCCAGCTTGCTCTGGGAAATGCCCTATCTGCTTCCAAGTTTGAGAACTATACAGTTCCCCGTGCCTACCCAGAATTCCATGGGTGCCAAGGGTCCAAACTCTGGTCCTCATATGACTACCCATTGAGCCATCTGCTCAGGCCCCAGGAGCTGTTCTACAGGGTACCTGTCCATCTCTGGAGAAAGCAGTGTCTCTTGGGACATTCTTTCAGAAACATTAGCTTGTTGATGTCTAAATCTAGGGTGTTCCGTTCTGTAATTCCAGCTGAGGCAAGAGAATTGCAAGATCAAGGCCAGTGTGGGAAACTTCGTGAAAGAGAGGCTGTCTCTAAAAATTTTTTTTAAAAAGTCCGAAGTATAGTACAGTATCAATTAGCGCATATGAGGCCCTGGGTTCACCCTCCAGTCATGCATAAGCAAACAGACAGACAGACATCAAACATCCAAAAAAACAAATGAATGTTGCTAAAGAACCTAGCATTTAGCCAGGCAGCAGTAGTGCACACCTTTAATCCTAGCACTCAGGGGGCAGAGCCAGGCAGATCTCTGTGAATTCAAGGCCAGCCTGGTCTACAGAGCGAGTTCCAGGACAGGCACCAAAACTACACAGAGAAACCCTGTCTCAAAAAACCAAAAAAATAAGTAAATAAATAAAACCAAAAATAAATAAATAAATAAATAAATAAAGAAAGAAAGAAAGAAAGAAAGAAAGAAAGAAAGAAAGAAAGAAAGAAAGAAAGAAAGAAAGAAAGAAAGAAAGAAAGAAAGAACCTAGCATTTTCTCTTTGGTGTTTTGTTTCCTATTAATCGGTTCATCTGATGTAGGCATTATAGATAGAGTTTAATTACCACAGAGTATTGCTGAGATCTCTATCGGTCACATAAAAGCTGCATATTTTGTTCCCAAATGCTTCCTATTGAAATAAGTGTATAGCCCATCAGGACTGGATCGCACTGCCGACCTTGAAGGAACATTTCCCCCTGCCCTCTTGTTAACTATGTTTTCATATTTGGTGGTGATGACTTTGAGTCAACAATCACGTTCCAGTGGTCATTTGCATGCCACCGGGGAAATGGAAACGTTTCCGTGTACAAATCCAAAGAATTCAGGATGAGAAAAGAGCAACTGTTGACTATGGTGACCGATGAGTGT